TCATTTAACATCTTACCTCTCCATCAATTTGGTTTCAGGAAAAAAACACAGCGCAACGGCTGCTTCACTGAAGGTTTTTAATGATGTTGTCGACGCACTGGACGCTAAGGATGATTGTGCTGCACTTTACTTAGACCTGTCTAAAGTTTTTGATGCTGAAGATTATGTCATACTCTCTCAGAAATCGTTTTATCAGATCACACTATTGGTTGGTTCTCTAATTATCTCTCAGATCGGAGGCAATGTGTTCAACGTAATAGTACTGCTTCCAACTATCTAACTGTTAACAACGGTGTACCACAAGGCTCAGTCTTAGGACCCACCCTCTTCACAATCTACATAAGCAGTGTAGGTCAGAGCATCCCTGATGCATCCTTACATTTCTGTGCTGACGACACAGTTTATTGTCGAGCTAAAACAGTTGCTAAGGCTTTCCAGCTTTTACAGTCTGCTTTAGACATAATCAAGTCACACGTTTCCACCTTCGCATTGCTACTTTTAACCATTCACAACACCTATTTTGATGCTAAAATATCTCAGTTGTACTGTTATTCATAAGTCATGTCATCTGGATGGTTTATTATTTTGTTAAGTGACACATAGTGTGTGAACTTTGATGTTTTGAACCATTTTGGCTATGGCTGCCTCAGAGGAGTTTATGGGGGGCAGGGCGGGCCCCAGAAACCATCTTATCACCATCAAATTGGTTGGCCCACAATGTGAGTGTGCTGTTTGTTTGTGGGACTTAGTTTGTTGTGGCTCCTCGGACTGATGAAGTCCTTTGGATGAAGGACGAAACGTCTCAACAAAAAAAGAAACCGTCCAGATGACCTGACTGAACTTTGTTGGATTTTTTTTATCTGGATTACTGAGCATGAACTTTGATGTTATTCATAAGGTTTGTGTAAAACTTGGTCCCCTTTCATCAATAATCTCAGTTTAAAACTGCCATGGCGGCTGGCACGTTTAAAGAATGCTGGCCTTTTGATTTTCTTTATGTTCTTTAAATGCACAGCTGAGTTTGCACACCTCTCATTGGTCATTTATAATTCATCAACATTTTGCATGGATGGGAAATGATGCAGCCGCAGAGCTGTAAATGTTTGATTGCCAGGCTGTCCATCAGGAAATAGTGATTTTCATCATTTCAGTCGTGTGGATGCTGGAGACATTTTCTCCATCATACAATCTTCAACAAAAAAAAAAGCATGAAAGCAAACACAAGCTCTCTGTTTAACACCCGCTGACCCTTCGCTCGCTGCTTTCTACTGGAAACAATCAGCCTCAGAGGGCTTTAAGGATGTCGAACAGCAGTCCTCCACATCCTTTCATCATGTCGGGCTGAATCTTCTCACCCTCCGTTTGTCCTGAACAGTCATTACACCCTCAGTGAAACGTTTGCAGAAAATATGGACCCCGTCTGAGTCAATATGCACCGAGTCCATGTCCGTTTGACTCTGCCGAGCTGACTTCTGTTTTACATGTAACTTTTCATTCAACCTTTATTTAAACAGGTAAATCCCATTGAGCCTCGAGGACTCATTTACAAGAGAGACCTGATTTCAACAAAGAAAGATGACAACAATAGACAGTTATAAAAAAGCATACAATTTTTTTTTAACATATAGGATGGCTAAAAAAAAGAAAAGTAACAAAAAAACAGCTAGATTTTAAGGCGAATGTAGAAAACTAAAAACAGGAACATGTCTGCATTGGTCCCTGCCAGGAGTCCAACAGATTCTTAAAGACACTTAGAGAGGTCAAGGTCGAGAGCTTCATGTCTTTTTGTAAGATATTCCAGGAAACAGGAGCGGAGTAGGAGAAGGCCCTTTTGCCAAGTTCAGTCCTCACTGAGGGAACACTGCAGGTAATAATGTCCTGAGAGCGCACGCTGTAACTCAGGAGAAAGCCTGGTCTCCTGCTGAGCGGGACCGAGATCTGGGAGTGAGAAGACGAAGGGTGTTGGAGGAGCGAAGAGTGCGTGAAGGACAATGAGGGGTGAGAAGTTCTTTTAAATAAAATGGCGCATTACCGTACAAGCATTGGAAGGCGAGCAGATGCATTTTGTAAGTGGTCCGGGCAGAAACAGGAAGCCAGTGTAGTGAACGGAGCACAGGGGTGCACTCTCATCAGGACCCTGGCAGCTCTGTTCTTGTATGTCAATTCAATTTATGTAGCTTTTTACTAATTTTATCCTTGAGCACTTTGTTTCAGCAAACTTCAGCAGCCACTGTTGCAGAAAATGCAGTTTCATTTCTCATTTATTAACTTTTCTATTGAGCTGATTGTCATAAACTGTCAAAACAATGGGAAAGTGATCATTGTTAAAAAAAAAAAAGGTCTTTGGCATAAACGACAAGAGTCTGGACATTGAAATGTCTTTATGCACCAAAAACAACACCAAAATGAACGATCTTAATTTGAAACTTGAACCACTTGCGTGTTAAATTTTTCTAACGGCAGCTGGAGCTCCCTCCTTCAGCACACGCAGTTTATCAGCCCTTTCTGCACGTAAAATCTACGGTTTACCTCCGTCTTACTCATCGTGTTGAGACCTTTCCTGTCCCCGTCACACAATCAGAGGAGTCTGCCAAATGTCTTTTTTATGCGTCGTTTTATTACTGTGGGAGGAAGCGATCTATGATTGCCAATTTGAATTTAATTTCCTAAAGGCCCTTTCACAGACAAAAGTGTAGAGGAGCAGGAGTTCTCTTTAGAGACTCGCTGCTTTTTTATTTCCTTTTTTTAATCAGCGCGTTCAGATCAAAATTGGGTCGAACAGCTGAGGAGGTACACTGGGAACTCAACACGCTGAGAGGCTTCAGGATTGTAAGATGAGTTTTTCTCGACTTATTGAAATTTTAAAACACAAGTTGGTGTTATAAACCTTTTTTAAGGATGCAGTAGAAGTTTTCTTATTCTCCCCGTAGCTTCCTGTTTATACAGAAGTGACGGACCATTTTAAAAATATAAATTTATGTTGAGGACGAAAAGGTCTGAATGAAAACAGGCTGTAAAGGTGACACCAAGACCATCGATCAATTTGTTGTTATCACTGCAGCACTGAAGGGCGACGTCTTTGCTGCATAACCCTATCACTTTTTTTATCCACGGAAAGGAGAAAACGGGCGATTATGTCTGTTAGCAGAATATCTCATGATCCACTGAAACATTTCAATAAAAATTGCAGCAACTGTGCAAACGTAGATGTTTAAAAATGTGTTAAAATACACCAGAATTCAGGAAATAGCATCTACTTTTTAAAAAAATTCCCGCTCACATTACAAACTGAATCATGAATCTCTAACTAGAATAATCACTGTGAAAAACCATATCATGTTGCTGCTGATCTGTTTCATGTTGCTGCTGATCTGTTTCAATGTTGATGTGTTCATGCGTGCACATCTGCTCACAGACTCATGTTCATGTTTGTGCTGATGTTCAATGTTTTATGTTATGAGTGCTTAGTGTATATTTAGTTGATGTTTTTCTTAGTTCATATCTTAGATGTCATTACTGTTTTTCTTATACATTTTATTGTTGGATGTAACTGGGACCCTGCGTACATAATTTTGCTCCACCACATGTACCACATGAGGTGCGAATGACAATAAAGAAACTCTGACTCTGACTCTGAAACGGTTCTGACACCAATGGTCGCTGCGTTGTTCAAGCCAAGAGCCATTATCAGGACTGGGGGCTAAGCACCTCTAAAGGGCATATTCTAGAACCGCCCCTGGTGCGGGGTGTGATTCCTTCAAGGAAAACCACAATGTAAATTTTACAGATGAGATGCACGATCATTTTAAACAACTTCTGTTTATTTGCATCATCAACAACCATACACATTCGTCGGTCCTCCAGCACCTAAACACAGGAAACAAACGTCAGTTTACCTCTTCACTACCACCAGCTGACACTTCTGTGTGCAAAACTCTCCAACAGCTCGGACATTTATCCCACGGCAGAAAAGTTAAGAAGCAAAACGAGTCCAAAAATTGTAAAAACAAACTTGTTCACAAACAAACCTCAGTGCAACGGTGGAACAAATGCAGTTCGCCTCTGCAGAAACTGAAACGGTTTGATCACGTTGCACGAGGGTGCTCCACAATTCAGAGTGCACTTTTTATTTTTGTTAACAAAGAGAAGAAAAAGTCCTTAAAATAAGCAGCAGCTTCTAACACAGACTCAGCCATTGATCTTTTTTTTTTTTTTTTGCTGTAAACAAAAACCGAGGCTCCAGAATAATTAGTGACACACCAGTAACAATGGAAACACCAGTCTGCCCATGTTGGGAGTGCCGCAGTGCAGACAGCCTCAACCAAACAGCCGGACAAAACGTATTCATTTAGTTGTAAACATTAACAATAAGCGTTGCTTGAGTTTAAAATGATAATCTGCAAAAAAAAGAAATTCAAATCAGATGTTTTTCTTTAATTATCTGGCTTGAAATGAACAAGTGGGGCTGTATGTAAACATTTGAACACGGTTCAAAAAGACATCCGCTTCACTGAACATTCACAAGATTAAAAACTTTTGTTTTTCTTCAGAAAGAGTTTGTTTCTGGTCTATGGAGCTATATGGGATAGCTTATCTTACCGAACACCGAATCGGAACTAAAACAGTCGGTGAATCGCCACATTTTATGTGATTTGGATCAAATTAAATCTCTCCGTGCTTTGCCATCTTCACCAATCTTCAGTCATCGGCAGCCTTTGTTTCTACGAGAGGCATCGATGAAATAAAGGTCAAGGTGCAGAGCAACACGAAACAGACGCTGGAAGGAGCTAAATAAAAAATGCCCCTCTCCTAAAACACTGTTTCTGCGAGGACGCAAGGCCGAAACAAGAAAACGTTCCCATGTGGACGACCCCTCAGTCGAAACAAGTAGTAGGTATTACAGCAGTACAGATGGTGTATTTCAATTAAAATCAGGGAATAAAATTGCGAATTTGGAAATCATACAATATTTACCACCGTGAAGTTTTTTACCGTCCCGAGTCATGGAATAAGAATACATAGTGCGAAGTACTGCTGCTATCTCAAGCATAGAAACAATAAACGTAGTGTAGCGTCTTTAATATATACGATTTCTTCACGGTCAGCTTAGGCCAACAAGTTTGGCATCATAGACATTTCAGAATTTACATATATTCATATATACATGCGCATCCTGTGCAATATATATATATATATATTTATTTTCTTTTAAAACAAGACATCTATCTGGTCCTATGCAAGTGGATCATTTACCAAAAACAAAACCACAGAAGATCCTTGGACAGGTCCGAAATCTAGCTGTGACAAAAATAAATACGACCACTATGGATGAAGTGATGAATTTCTATTTTTCAATAAGTGCACTGAAATCAAGTCGAACGTCTGTCAGGCGTAGAAGATGAGTTCAGGGATCTGGCCCCCCTGCACCCCGGTGCCGTTGGTGCTGTCCGAAGAGCACTGGAACTGGAATGTCACTTTGCCACACTGCACCTCGGTCATTCCTTCCTGCCCAAAGTAGCTCAGCTCATTCCCATCTAGAACCACGCTGGCAGTGTAGAACGTGTCGGGCTCGATTTGAACCGGATACTCGAACCACACGGGGAAGGTATTGCTGGATCCATCAGAGAAGTACTTGTTGAGGTTTTGTCCCAGCAGGACTCCTTGCCGTTTCAGCTCTATTTTGGCGCTGTACTCCGCAGAGCCGCAGCTGGATCCGTACAGACCGAAGCCAGCGATGAAAACCCTTTTATCCACGGCGAACTGGATGCTGTCACAGCGGCCCCGGTAGCGCCACTGATTGCTCCGGTAGGCGCAGGACTGGAATCTGTGGCAGCGTTGCGGTGTCAGACCCGTCCTGGGCTGACTGACAAACTGCAGCTCAGGCTTCTTGGCTGCCGTGTACCACAGGAAGATGTCATTGGTCTCGTTGAGTGTCAACACGCCGGACTGAGCCGCGCCGTTCGCAAAATCATCCAGAGCCATCGTAGGGATTCGGATCAGGTACATGGCCTTGCCTAAAACTTTACGCTTGTTGTCAGTGGAAGACGTGAGCTCCTGTCTCTGGCACTCAGCTTCAGCCCAGCAGAGCGCCGCCTCAAACACCACTATCTCTTTAGCGTTGAGCGTCTCCCGCTGCAGGATGCTCTCCAGGGTCTGCGCATCAATGTCGCAGAAGCCTTCGGAACGCAACGCCAGCTCAGCCTGGGCATCAATCACCTCCCAGCAGCGCTGCGTCAGCTCGGGCTCCTCGAACAGGCAGCTCTGGGAGAGCAGCACGCAGGCGTTTTTGGCGCTCAGGCTGGTCTCCAGGAAGTTGACGCAGGCTCGTGCCAGGTGGGGGACAATGTACTTTTTGGCAGCATAAAGAGTAGCCAAGACGGTATCAGCAGTCAGGTCGATTTCATCGCAGTAAATGTACCTGTGGGAGAAAAAATGATCAGCAATCAGGAACCTCAGAAAACGATGTGACAAAGTTGTAAAAATGTTTGGAATGTCGGTGGTTAAAACATATTGTTCAAAAATGTGTCCAAAACAAGTGATCTAAACACACGCAGTTAGAAACTCCTCAAACTGGTACACTAATACAAAATACACTGTATTGTTCTTTCAGCGTTGTTAGTCTGTGAATGTTTATGAAGCATTCACACTATTGAGATCCATTTTTCTTCTGTACTTTTTCGATTCTCGTCCCGCAGTTTTCAACTAATTTCATCAAATCATGTATCAAAACATTCGGCTTTTTTAGGTTTTAGGACAATCCTGCTATGACTTTTAGTATTGGTGCAACTTTAGCTGTTTGAAATGTTTATCCTTTTCTACCATTTTTTTTCCTCGTATAAAATGAATTGAGCTCATTTTACATCCTTAAAATAGATCTGTTTACAACCTTTTACTGCTCCATTCACATTTTCTTCTGCTTCATTGTGCAAACTTAAACTTTTTTCAGCTACTTTCAGCTAATTTCAGCTGTTTTGCACTCCTTAAAGATTCTTTCTGCTAACTACATTTTTGTGCTTCTTCCGACTTCTTTCTGCTATTTTTTTCAGCTTGTTGTGCTCCTTTCAGGTTATTTCTGCTAATTTCAGTTTTTTCAGTTATTTCAGCTATAATTTGGACGTTTTATGCTAATTTTAGCCTTTTCAGCTAATTCAACATTTTTGTCACTTAAAATGTGCTCTCTCCACTTGTAATTTAAATTTCTTTCTAATTTTTAGCTACTTTTCCGTTGTTTTTTTTGCTAATTTCAGCTTTTTTTCATATAATTTCCACTTTTGGCGCTCATTTCTGCATCTTTCAGCCTAATTAGGTTAACATGTTTCTGCGTTCTTACGCTCATTTAAGCTTTTTCCAACTTTTCAGCTATAACTTTATCTAATTTCAGCTGTTTTCAGATAAATTCACGTTTTTTTCTTGGTATATTCTACTTTCAACCTAATTAACTTATTTCTACTAATTTCAGCAAGTTATACTCCTTTCAGCCTTTTTCAGCTAGTTCCAGCTTTTTCTGTCATTTCAGCTACTATTTAGCTGTTTTATGCTAATTTTAGCTTTTTCAGCTAAGTCCACATTTTTTAGCTCAATTCAGCTCCTTCCACTTCCTTCTCATAGTTTAACCTTTTTTTTTTTTGCATTTTGGCTACTTTTAGCTGTTTTTCTTTTGCTAATTTTAGCTTTTTTAAGTGGATTTCCTAATTTTTTTTCTAATTTATGCTAATTTTATTCTAAACCACCATCATGTGTTCTTTCTGCTTTATTGTACTAATTTAGGCTTGTTATTTCGGCTACATTTCAGCACTTTTTTTTGTTTTGTTGCTAATTTCAGCTGTTTTTCACAGTAAATTCAATTTCTCTAGTTTTATTTCTTTCATTCCGCTGTAACTTGCCTTGAAGGATGAAAAAAGCATATCATGAGAATTATAGTGAATATTGATCCAATAACAGACGTATAGGAAATAAAGTTTTATGAAAAACTGATGGTTACATTTAACACCTCCTAGATAAAGAACAGGAAAGCTGCTCAGTAGAGTTTTGTCAAGATTATGAAAGAGATGGATATAACTCGGGGCTTCTTTTTCACCAAAGTATAACTGAAGTATTAAAATCCCGATGGTATTTGCTTAAGACAAATATCATTTTGTTGCACAAACACATTGATTTCTTACTTGAGCATCGCCAGAAATGCTGCCGGTTCCACGTCTGGTATGTGGATTTCATCTTTGTTCTCTGCGAGTTCCCCATAGAACATGGCGTGGAACACGGAGCTGCCCACGGCCAAGACGTACTGTCAACATGAACCAAAGAGACGGAGAAAAAACATAATTATTTCACAAGAGTCCACATGACACATATGACACGTTTAATTCTGACTCTGCTCGTCTCTAAAGTCAACTCAGGCGTTGTTTGTTTTGTTTGAGCAGACCCGTTGGATCTTTCTTTCAAAATAACAAGAACTCGGCTGCAGATGTTTTCTGTTGACCCCCTTTTCTATTTTAACACCTTGTGTTCATTTCTCTGTTAGCATAATTTCTCTCAAACAACTGGAGGATTTTAAAGAATCACGCAGAAGCCAATAATAAGGTGTGTCTACAACCGATTAATCTTTAGGAGTCATTATGATTCAAGATGGCTGCCACTAAAAACAAATAAAATTTCATCCCAACACACATTCTGAGTGCGAACAGATAATGTGCCAACAATTTGGAGTCAACCTTGTCTTGTCTGTTAGCAAAATATCTCAACACCACTGAGCAGGTTTAAATGAAACATTCTTAAAATAATCCCTGGCTGTGTGTCTATGGGTCAATCAGATTCAAGATGGCCGCCACAGCTAATCATCATCAAGAAACACAAAAATGGCGACAGTGAGTTCTAAACCTACAGAGTTGAATTTTAACGTGGTAGTTAATGAGAGCGTTCCCCAACACCAACGATTGATTATTTTGAACAGCAACAATTTATTTAACTATGAAATCGTTTTTTATCGAACTTTAATGAAGATATGCGTGAGTTCTTAAAGATTTTAGCAGAGGACACGTCTGCAGAGATGCTCCAGATTTAGCGACCGCTGTAATGATATTTATCAGCTGGTTAGAATAAAACCAGCGTCGTCTCATGACCCATTACATTTCATAGACGTCTACGTACGTTTAATGTTTGCAGACATTTTTCTAGCCTTGGAAGGCGGTAACTTGAAAAATACATTTAATGACGATGCATGTGATCTCCGGCCAGCCAGAAACAATTAAGACCGCCGAGCTGAACGTCTTTAAAGCCCACTGGCGTAATGTCTCCATATAAAAGGCATTTCATCCTTTCATAATGGCTTTCTCTAAAAGCACAAAGTGTACTGCAGCTACCCGTCATAAATTATTCATTTGGGTCCAACATAAAGAACAAAAATTAAAAGAAATCTCTGCAGGCCACGTTTCTGGCTGTAAAGTCCTCGGATTTATGTCAAGACGGGTTCAAACAGAGGAGGAGCGGCGGTATTTTTAGGTGAAGCACCTGATTTAGGCAAACGTGGATCTTAATTATGTCAAAAGAACATCCTGAAGTGATGAAGTCAGAGAGTGGAAGAAACAAAGACGTCTGGGCGATAATTAAAGACTTAACGTCCCTCAAAGGAACCGATATCACTAATCTGACGTTGAAAAAAGGTCTGCAACCTGCGGCTCCGGAGCCACATGTGGCTCTTTGGTCCCTCCGCAGCGGCTCTTTCAGGCTTTGACCAAAACTAACATAAAACTGAATTTTATTTAAATTATTGCCAACAATTAAAAAGGTTCGTTTTAGCAGAAGTTCTGTCATTTTCAAATATGTGAAGGACAAGATGCTAAACATCATGCTAGCAGTTTGTTGGCCACTTTACGTCGACTTCCAGTCGCTCAGCGCGGTCTTTTTCTCAAAATCATCAGAATGTTTTGGAATATCTTTAAGACAAGCTGCTGAGAAGGAACATGGCGAGTAACTTTGATAACTATAAGAATAAAACACAAAAAAAACAGAGTCACAGTAAATGAAAATATACATTTTTCTTTAAAAAAGTACAAACTGGCCTAATTTTTACTGTCTTTAACTTTCCTGATGCATGCTCAATAATCCAGGTAGAAAAATCCAAAAAAGTTCAATCTGGTCCTCTGGACATTCAAAAAAACAAAAAACAAAACAAAGCAAAAAAATCTAGAAACGTTTCGTCTCTCATCCAAGAGACTTCCTCAGTCTGAGGTGCTGTTTTCAGCTCAGTCTCATAAATAGCACCTTCTCAGGGTGGATCAACCAGTTTGCTGCTGACAACCAAA